AAATATAATAAAAACCTATTTATGTTGACAGTTTAGAATATAATAAGAACCTATTTATGTTGACAGTTTGGAATGCAGTAAATACCTATGTATGTTGATAGTTTAAAATATAATAAAAACCTATTTATGTTGACAGTTTAGAATATAATAAGAACCTATTTATGTTGACAGTTTGGAATGCAATAAATACCTATTTATGTTGACAGTTAGGAATACATTAAGTGCCTATTTATGTTGACAGTTTGGAATATAATAAGAACCTATTTATGTTGATAGTTCGGAATATAATAAAAACCTACTTATGTTGATAGTTAGAAATATAATAAAACCTGCTTATATTGATAGTTTGAAATATAATAAAAACCTACTTATGTTGACATTTTCAAATATAATAAGAACCTATTTATGTTTACAGTTTGGGATATAATAAGAACCTATTTATGTTGACAGTTTGGGATATAATAAGAACCTATTTATGTTGATAGTTAGGAATATAATAATAACCTATTTATGTTGACAGTTTGGAATGTGATAAATACCTATTTATGTTGACAGATTGGAATGAAATAAGTACCTATTTATGTTGACAGCTTGGAATACAATAAGTACCTATTTATGTTAATAGTTAGAAATATAATAAAACCTGCTTATACTGATAGTTTGAAATATAATAAAAACCTACTTATGTTGACAGTTTCGAATATAATAAGAACTTATTTATGTTTACAGTTTGGGATATAATAATAACCTATTTATGTTTACAGTTTGGATTATAATAAGAACCTATTTATATTGACAGTTTGAAATATAATAAGAACCCATTTATGTTGACAGCTTGAAATATAATAAGAACCTATTTATGTTGACAGTTTAGAATATTATAAGAACCTATTTATGTTGACAGTTTAGAATATTATAAGAACCTATTTATGTTGACAGTTTAGAATATTATAAGAACCTATTTATGTTGACAGTTTGAAATATTATAAGAACCTATTTATGTTGACAGTTTGAAATGTAATAAGAACCTATTTATGTTGACAGTTTGGAATATAATAATATCTTATATATATATTGACAGTTTAGAATACAAAGACTGGCTACTGCTGTAGTCATTATATTAATTATTGTAGGATTTAGTAAGTGTTTGTATTTACTTTAGTGTACTTATGTTAAATAATTAGTGGCTATCCAGATTGACTAATATGAGTTATTACATTTAGTACTGTAGGAGTAACTGTGTAAATTATCTTCAGTGTTAGTATGTGATATAATTAATGACTGTTTGTATTAAATACTTTAGGATTTACTGTGTAAATTATCTTCAGTGTTAGTATGTGATATAATTAATGACTGTTTGTATTAAATACTTTAGGATTTACTGTGTAATTTCACTTGAGTGTTAGTATGTACTAGTAATTAGTGGCTGTATAGAATAACTACTGTATGTCATTATATTAAATATTGTAATAATTATTTTATAAGTTGACTGAAGGTATTTGTATTAAATATATATATTCTTATTTATTAGGATTGATGACTGTTTATCACATTAAATATTGAAGTACTAACTCCAAGCTTACTTATGATAATAAATGTGTTTTTGTTCAACTTTGTAGTGTAAGGCTAATTTGTGTGTCCTCAATATCTAGTTATTGTAACTATTATATGTACCAAAATATTTTAGTTTAAATTCGTATAAAAGTAATTACAAAGCTTTCCAGTTGAGTTTCCCTATAAACTAATGTTGTGAAAATCAAACATTAATTTATATAGTGTCTCTTTAAGTTATGTTTTCATTTTTCAGACTTCTACAGTTTTGTATCAAAAACAATAGCTACCGTGGTGCCCCTTGTCTGGATATTCATCCAGAAGACACAATTCAACGTTTTATACAAACAGGAGTAGGTAAGTTGGTATTTTGTAAAAAGTAGAACTATTTTAATTGGACTTAATATACAGCATTTGTTATGTAGATTTTTGGCAGAATATAGTGAAGTGTTTTGTTGTTTTTAATCAACATATTTTCTCTTCTTTCAATATATTTTCCTGCTGGGTAACCATCCTCAAATTTTTCTCTTGTTTAAGTAATTTCAGTTTTATTCTGCTTTGATACTTTCTCTTTACCAATATACATAGACAGTTTTTTTTTCTTTTTGAAGTACTTATTCTTGTTTACAGTACCTTCTCTTGACTAGTAAGTATAAACAGTTTTTTCATGTTGAAATACTTCCTCCTATCTTATCACTTAGAACAATTTCTTGTTGTTTTAATATCTTCTCTAGGCCAGTAAACTGGACAATTCTCCTTTGTTGAAATACTTTCTCTTATCTTATCACTTACAACAATTTCTTGTTGTTTTAATACCTTCTCTCGGCCAGTAATACTGGACAATTTTCCTGTGTTGAAATACTTCTTTCAGTTTGAATGATTTATTTTTGTTTTAATACCAATAAGCACAGACAGTGCAAATGATCTCTTGTGTTCGTGAGCAATTATGGTAGTCATTTGTGCAGTAATGCAAAATTAAGTGTTTTAATATATTTTTTATTAATGAAAATAATAAGTTTAGTATTTTAATGAATATCCTTGTATTACATCTCATTACTTATCTCACTCATTTAAAACAAACAAAAACAGGTGAGCATACAAGAAACCATATTTATTAAATGGGGCAAGGATGACAAAAGTTTGGGAAATGCTGTACTACATTATACACTCACTTTCATGTCTTGTTTTTTGCAAACTAGTGTCTAAGATATAGTTTAATAAAATACTTGGGTGTATGAATCAGATAATGTACTGTTATTTCATGGATCAGATAGTACACTGTTATAAGTTATTTTCCTGGATAAATTAATCTACTGTTATTATGTCATTTCATGGATCAGACAATTTACTGTTATAATGTTATTTCATACATCAGATAATATACTATTATAACAGTATTTCAGAGAAGTTAGTAATTAATGTTCATTGATTAGCCAATTTTTTTATGCCTAGATTCAAAACTGGAGATTGTCTGAAGTAGTTTAATTGCATAGCATAGTTTAATCATCAATTTCTTCAGTAATGTTATGATTTGTTACTTTGAAAACTAATATTTATGTTACTCTTTTCCAAGTCTCAAATTCAATAACTGAAAAGGATTACTTGGTGTTTGATGGAAAAATTCCAATTAGCCAACACACCTTACAAGAAGAACCACAGTGGAGTGGAGATACGTAGTTTGTTCTAGAGACAAAATTTGTTTAAAAATCAACATCATCATTGAAAAAGGAATTTTAATTATGTTATTAAACAGTGAATCATATTGAATATTATCTTTCAGAGTTGGTTGATTTTTTGGAAGAATTTTGATATTTAGGAAATTTTAACAAATGTTTTTTTAGCTATTAAGAAAAATCTTGTTTGAAACATTAGTACATGATGATGTACTTTATTGTTAGTAAAAAAATAACATTCCATGTGACATTGATAATTAGATTGTGTTTAGTGAAATTGGCAAGTGCTTATTTTTCATGTTACCAGGATCTTATTTTTGTAATTTGATATTTTTAATAATAACTCTTTTTTTTTTATTGCTAACTTTTACCAAAGATAAACTATAATGTGATAATATATCAGTTTAAAAAGTTAATACTTTTTTTCACATAGAATTTTTCAGTTAAACTTTTATGTGTGTATGTGAAAAGGGTTAGCATATTGCTAACTGGATGTGTTTTTATACATAATCCAGTGGGAATTTTGCATCAGAAACCTGAATGTGCGCTTATAATAAGATGCTGATAGTTGTAACCATGGCCAGCTGATAACTACAGTTTATAACACTGTCAGCCCAACTAAGTTGATGGTGTAACCTAGTCAAGTTTTAGTTGTGCCACTTTAAATGTTGAAAATGGCTTAATGTGGTTTTTAGGTAAATACACAACATTTATGCTCTTTGGTTTCAAAGGGGAGTTTGAAGCAGCTTCATAACTTCTTTAACCAAAAGTACTTTTACTAGAAGAGTTTATATTTTGGTTCTTTCTCTGTTGAAGTTTTTTAACTTTCTTTAATGTTTTTTTATACTGTAAGATACGAAATATCACTTCACAAGCTTAGTTACTATGCCTTTAGGAGAAATTGCCTTGAATTGTTTATTCATTTATTAACTAATAATTATCAGCAGCTACAATCTGTATCAAATTTTAACCCAAGGCTCAATTTTTGACCATTTTATTAATGTTTTTGATATGGTTTTACTAACCCACCAAATGTTATGATACTATTGCTACTAGTATAAGTTCAAGTATGGGTTTTTATTTAGTTGATTCTAATTCAAATAATCTTTATTAGGATGGTTTTTGACCTAATAAATTAACTCTGAATTTAAGTAAAACTGCTTATGTTATATTAAGTACAATTGAAAATCAGTGCTGCATCCTCTTTTGATATAAAATGTTATACTTTTAGAATTTGTCAAACAGCAGGCTTAAGTACTTGGGTATTTGGTTTGTTAGTTATTTATGATAAATATATGTATTTTTAAAGAAAAATTGTAAAAATAATTATTTTGATCCTACTAGACCTTTGTGTAAATTTTCAAAAATTCTTGATATTTACATATTTCTTTTTAATCATTAATACATTGAACAAGCCTTTGACTTAGCTTGATTTGTGTATTTGCTAAGGCAATAAATTTGTATCTTTTATTACATAGATGAATATTATGTATTTATAAAGGCCTATATTTACTAACTTATCATTTTGTATTATTTATCTGTGTGTTTAGAACTTAAATAAAATGTCAATATGGATTGATTCTTTGGTGATGAGGTTAGGAGGTAGGTGCAAAAATCTGTTGTCTTCAGTTTCTTTAATTATTTACCCAATGGTAAAATGAGTAAGTGCTAAAAATGGGAATATATATAATAAAATATGCAATTGGATTTATTTTTCTTTGAAAACTAAAAAAAATTTTAATGTCATTCTTATTACATATAAAAGTTCCCAAGTTGCTTAACAGCAACCTTTAGGGCTTATAATACTTAAATTCATAGTTCATTTCCAGTGTTTGACAGTGTACAAATAATGCATTATGTGGCTTTACATTAGAACAAACAAATAATTTATTTTATTAAATTTTGTAATTTCATTGGCCAAACCTCCAGTTTCAGTCTAATAATCCAACTCTTTGAGAAAATAGTTTACTTTTTTCTCCTCATACAAATATTTTTTGTTTACAGTTTTTAATTTGATTAGATGTTTAGTCCACACAAATTGTGGATAGTACTAGGTGTTTTTATACAACTTTCAAAGATTTGAGTTAACTAATTTGGGTTTGAAGAAAATGGTGGGCAATTTTCATCCCAAGATGATCTAGAAATGTAAAAACGTTAGGAAGAGGTCAAGTTTGGAATAATAATCATAAGAAATATAGTGTAAGATTAAATAAAACATATATGTTGATATATTTTTTGAAATTTTATTAAAAACTGTTTGTAGATAATGATAATGAAAATATATATACACAAACACATTTAGTGAAAATCTGAGTTATTTTTAGAAGTCATTTTTAGCTGTAAATATTAAAAAGTGACAAATGGTTTTGTTATGATGAACAGCAGAAAACTTATGAAATAAACAGGTAAAAGATATTAAAATTTTAACCTTTTATGGTAGTGTAAATAATTTTGTAAACTTTCATAAAAATGGAATAAACATTTGTGGAAAAAGTTGTTTATAATTGTCAATGTGAAAATAATCGAAAGATTACAGAACTTTTGGTTGCTGAATAAAAGCTACTTCTAGTGTATCATCAATTGAAAATACGATTTCAGAGGAAAACAGTGCTGAAGTAATAGAAACTAACTTGGTGGTACTTTCCATTATCCTTGTTCGTTAGAGTAGGATTTCTAGTTTTAAAATGATATAGTCCAAGAGATTGTTTATTATATGATTTTATTCATCACTAGATGGTGTACAAAAAATCGATTTGACCTTAATCATCAATGTGAGCAGGTTTTTTGTGGTTTAGCATGATTATGTAAAAAAACTGGGCGAAAGTATTGACTATTATCACTGAGAGTAGTTAGCAAGATATTATCACTGGGAGTAGTTAGCAAGAATTGTCTTGCTACTTTACATTTAAAAAAAAACTAACCAAAATTTTTCCAAAATTATCTAAGTAGACAGAGTTAGAGAAAAGTGCTGCTGATGCAATCAGTATCACAGAACATGAATTACAGTGAATAATAGATATTCATAATTATGAATGTAAAACAGCACTGAATAGTTTAAGAATACATCTAGAATTTGACTCTTGTCGCAAAAGTTAAGACTGAAAATGCAAGGTAGATTAATTTTTAATTGGAAATATTCTATCAAAATCAAACAAAACACTGGATACACCAAATTTGTTTTGACGTTTACGTTACTGTCAGAATTTCTTACACTATTGATAATTTCACTTTCTCAAAATTTTGAGTTGATACAATCGATATATGTTGCTTTACTGTAACCGAAAAACAGGTAAAACTGTTTTTTCTTTCAGTCGCAATATCTCAATATTATTATTCACCTTTCATGAAAATTCACTACTTGCCGAATATTCCAGTTTCTAAATTGAAACATTCTCTCTCCAGTGTTAATGAAAATAACGGTAGCTACAAATGTTACTTTATAAGTCAGTGATCACTGTTAACTTCATGTCGTAAAGTTTTAATTCCATTTACATATTGTTGCGTCAGCGAGGTCACGTGACTAGTATCACACCACTTCCTTCTCGAACCTTCGTGAATTGTCGGGAGATTACTAGATTGGGGGTAGACTGGTATATATAAGATGGTCACAACGTGACGGGACAGTGTGTAGGTAATGAGTAATTGAACTCGAGCACGTGAGACGTTCAGTGAGAATTATAGCGCGACTGTTGAAATTAAGTGTATCGTAAAGTTGTATTCGGAAAGAATAAACCAGTTTTATTTAAGAAAGGAAAAAGAAAAGAAACAAGAAGAACGAGAAAAGAAAGAAGAAGAGAGACAACAGCAGTTGCAAGAAAACCTGCAACAGTGGCAGCTGGAGCAACAAAATAAACAAGAAGAGAGATTTCAGCAGCTGTTGGAGGAAAAAGAAAGAAACAAGAAGAGAAATTACAGCAGTGGTTAGAAGAAAAAGAAAAGAAACAAGAAGAACGAGAAAATAAACAAGAAGAGAGATTACAGCAGTTGTTGGAGGAAAAAGAAAAGAAACAAGAAGAACGAGAAAATAAACAGGAAGAAAGTCTCCAACAACTACAGGAAAGTCAACAACAGTGGCAAGAAGTACAAATGGAAAACATTAGTAAATTTAAAAGCGAATTAAATACGTTAAAGGACGACTTTTTGTCTTTTACACAAGGAGGATACATTAACCATCGACATAACCAGCCCCAGACAATGACAAGCCCTATCCAGACCCTGCAGCTAAACCCTAATGCAGACATATTCAGTCCCGTTAGAAGTCACGTCCCAGATATGAA